AAGGGGACGTGCTGACGTGGAAGGTTGGGGATTGAGATTGTCTTAAACCCTCAACCCGACACTCTAAACCCTAAAACGCTCAAAACCCTAAGCGCCGTTTGGGTTTCAAGGCTTGCAACTGCAGCCTCACAGGCGTCTCTTTGGGTGCTTGCCTATGAGCTTCTTACGAATTCGTCCAGGCCGCCGGGAAGGATGAATTAAGTACTTGTTGTACGTGATCAGCGTGGCCGAGGTCGCAATGAGGCATAAGCTCCAGAAGACCTCCAGGCATTGTCAGTGCTGCAGCAACAGGCTGAGGGTGTGTTCTGTGTCGGCTGTGAGTTTGGGGTTTGGGGGGGGTGAAGGATTGTAGGCTTCAGGGCCCCAAGGCTTGGAGGTGTAGGATTCAGAGCTCAAAGTCGACCTCCCACAAGGATGGCTCACCCCAAACCTCCAAACCCTAAGCCCTAAACCAACCTTCATTCCTAAACCTCTACCTAAAACCTAAACCCAAGACCTCTATAGCCTAAACCCTGAACCTCTCAACCCTCATTCCTAAACCTCAAACTAAATCAACCCTCAATCTGAACCCTGGGGGAGCTTCGGGTCGGGACAGTTTCGGGTGACAGGGCTGACCTTTTGGGTTTAGGGTTTAGGTTTAGGGTTTAGGGTTTGTTTAGGGTTTAGGGTTTAGGGTTTAGGGTTTAGGGTTTAGGGTTTAGGGTTTAGGGTTTAGGGTTTAGGGTTTAGGGTTTAGGGTTTAGGGTTTAGGGTTTAGGGTTTAGGGTTTAGGGTTTAGGGTTTAGGGTTTAGGGTTTAGGGTTTAGGGTTTAGGGTTTAGGGTTTAGGGTTTAGGGTTCAGCATCTCCGGTCCAAGCATTCACTAGTTGAGCAGCTTTCAAGGCCATAGGGGAATACCCACCCGCCCATTGGGTCCCACACCATTAGGAAAATAATCTAATCCTCCTCCTCTCTGGGCAGCTACGTTCCTTCCCGATTCCCCTATGGCCTTGAAAGCTGCTCAACTAGTGAATGCTTACCTCTCCTACTATATATATTTAAATGATAAACCCCTTCGTGGATTTGGGCAAAAACCTTCGTGGATTTGGGCAAAAACCTTCGTGGATCTGGGCAAAAACCTTCGTGGATTTAGGCAAGGTACGGGGTCAAAACCAGTGAGAACAACTAGCATCATCGCTTCTTGAAGACCGACCGTGTTCAACTAGCATCCTCGCTTCCTGGGGACCGAGCGTGTTCAACTAGCATCGGGGACCGAGCGTGTTCAACTAACATCCTGCTTTTTGGGGACCGAGCGTGTTCAACTAGCATCCTGCTTTTTGGGGACCGAGCGTGTTCAACCAGCATCCTCGCTTCTTGGAGACCGAGCGTGTTCAACTAGCATCCTTGCTTTTTGCGGACCGAGCGTGTTCAACTAGCAGCCTGCTTTTTGGCGACCGAGCGTGTTCAACTAGCATCCGTGCTTTTTGGGGACCGAGCGTGTTCAACTAGCATCCTGCTTTTTGGCGACCGAGCGTGTTCAACTAGCATCCGTGCTTTTTGGGGACCGAGCGTCTAGCATCCGTGCTTTTTGGGGACCGAGCGTGTTCAACTAGCATCCTCGGGGGGGGGGGCGGGAAGGGTGGGTGGGGGGGGGGTGGGGTGAGGGGGGTGGGGTGAGGGGGGTGGGGGGAGGGGGGGGTGCGGGGGGGGGGGGGTTGGGGGGGGGGGGGGGGCCGGGGGGGGGGCCGGGGGGGGGGCCGGGGGGGGGCCGGGGGGGGGACCTTGCCCACTAAATATATGACCTTGCCCGCTAAATATATGACCTTGCCCGCTAAATATATGACCTTGCCCGCTAATTTTTTGACCTTGCCCGCTAAATATATGACCTTGCCCGCTAAATATATGACCTTGCCCACTAAATATATGACCTTGCCCGCTAAATATATGACCTTGCCCGCAAAGTCATTAACATTTATATTATATATGAAAGAGTGGTTTAGGGTTTAGGGTTTAGGGCTTAGGGCTTAGGGTTTAGGGTTTAGGGTTTAGGGTTTAGGATTGAGGCACATGCGCATCGAACTGAATGCCTGAATCCCCGAACGAGATTCCCACAGGTGCAGGAGTTTAGGGTTTGGGCTTAGGATAGGTCTTTGATGTAGGGTTCTAAGGTTTGGATTTTTTGGGCTTATAAGCTTTTAAAGGCTTAGGGTTTCGGGCTTCCTGGTTTACAGGTATGTGAGTTTTTCGGGTGGAAGGGATTAGGGTTTCTACAGTCCCTAACCCTAAACCATACACCCTGTCGGTTCTCTCGGCTTTCAAAGAGCTTAGGGGGCGAGGGTCAATCAATTGCCCCCAACTCCGCATCCCCTTCTCCTTCGACCTCTTGAACCCTAAATCCTCTACCCTAAAGGCCAGATAAGTAGAAAGCTATATGTGGTTCAACACGAGCAGCTCGTGAATAGACATGTAGAACAGTCGCAGATGGCATGACAAGACAACTTTCTTACAAGAATCCCTCAAAGATCCCAAAAGGCTTGAAGAGGCAGGCTTGGGATGTTCCCCCTCTTCTAACAGTCCGAGGGATGATAGTACCCCCTTTTGTAAGTATAAGGGGGAACATCCCAACAGCAGGCTTCCCCTCAAGGGAGGCCCGGAGGCCCCTAAAGGTAGAGGTTCCGGAGGCCCTGAAAAAGCGCAAGGCTCCACAAGGCCACACAAGGCATCGAATTTAGCTTCATTCCAAAAAAAGACAAGGAAAAAACCGACAAAGCCACTCAAACATCTCCCCACATCCCCAAACTCCGGACATGAAGTTGGCAAAGCTTCGGCAAAAGCACAAGAACCGACCCGGCAAACCCGGCAGAACCTTGCAAACCCCCCCCCCCAGAAATAAAAATAAATACAAACAGATCTAAAACCGATTACAGAACCCTAAACCCGAACCCCTAAACCTTGCCTTCGGCGCCAGCCGCTGTGCATCCGATTGCAGGAGGGGCTTTTCCTCCAGAGCAGCTTCCAGAGCCTCCTGTTGCAAACTGCATCCGGGGCTTGAACCTTTGAACTGGGTTTAGGGTTTAAAGTTTAGGATTTAGGGTTTCGGGCTTAGGGCTTAGGGTTTAGGGCTTGAAATTTCGGGCTTCGGCCCTGAAACCGATAGCACCTTGACTCTGTGTTGATAGGGATCTGGGGCTTGGGGGTTGGGGTTAGGGGGGCTGAGCCTTTTTATCCTCCGTATACACCGCCCAGGAATCCGCTGACCTAGGTCTTGGAACTCAGAACATCGCGATAGAGGGTCCTTCAGAAGACCCGGAATTCCGAATGACATAGCTGGATTTCAAAACCCTCAACTGAGCATTTTTTCGGGTGTTGTAATGGCATGGGTATCCTACGCGGGCCTACGCGTCAGCTCATGTTTAGTAGGCGCGCGGCCTACGCGCGGAGTATGTTGTTGACGTGTGCCTACGCGGGGACCTACGCGGCAAGCATAGACAACCTACGCGGACCTACGCGCCCATGCTGCATATACTTGCCTACGCGGACCCTACGCAAACCTACGCCCTGCAGGCAAAATGCTACGCGGCCGACTTTCAATGATCGCGTCTCTACGTAGCCTTGCTCCTAGAGAAAAATGCTGCTCAACTCGACACCCGAACTCCTCATCTGTCTTCGGATCTGCCATCCAAGCCCGGATTCACAGGTTCCTGGCATCATGCTGGAGCCACCCTGAAACCCGAGGCCACAATCCCTCAACACCAGGCCCTGCAGCTTGAAACCCGAAACTCTGAACCCTGAACCCCCTAAGCCCTAAAACGGAAGTGAGCCCCAAAAATCAAACAAGGAGCTGATCGGCTCCCTGCTTCGGAAACGAGACCAAGCCTCCTTCAGCCCGCAACCCTCAACCCTGCCCTGCAACCCTGGCAAACCCCCTGGGTTGCAATGGCCCTGTGGCTTTGGCTTGGTTTGGGCTGGCTCCGGCTTCTTGCTGCGCTGCGAGTTGTGAATGGGTGGCCTTGGGGTGGGCATGTCTTCAGCCAATGCGACACCCTAAAACCCACCCTTATGCCTTATGCCTTGTGGTTTTGGGGGGCTTTTGGGGCTTCAGGGCGTTCAGTGTTATTCAGGGGCTTGTCCGGTTTGTAGAGTTTTTAGGGCTTCGGGTTTCTAAGGCTCCTTGGGTTTTGGGGTTCTAGGCTTCCGGGTTTGGGGCCTTGGGGCTTTAGGGGTTTAGGCTTTCCGGTTTTGCGTTCTGGGTTTGGGGTTCAGAGCACGAGGGCGCAACAGAAGACGGCAGCCACCGGGTTTCAAGGTTTAGAGTTTAGGGTTTAGGGGTTTAGGGTTTAGGGTTTAGGGTTCAGGGATGAAACTCAACCCAAATCTTGAGCTTTCAACTGCGAGCTCTGCATCCGAGAACCTCGCATACACCCAAAGCACCAGACCTCCGAAACTCCATTATCATACCCACGTGGTCTTCTGCCACACTATATCAAAAATTGGCTTGCGATCTAACTGCCCCCCTCTTCGAGGCAAGCAGCACTACCGAGCGGAGCATGTGAAGTAGTCGAAGGTTCGTGGGAGGGGGAGGCCCGCCACAGGCGGGAGCCGCAACAGCTGCAGAGCTCGGAATGCGGAAGAACTGGGGACTCAGGCGGCTTCTGATATCAGCAGCTGGCGCAAGACTTCGAGCGGGGCGTTTAAAAAACTGCGCGGAATCCGAAGCACTAAGATCATGCACCTTTGAAGGCCTGAAACCCTGAATCACTGAAGCCCAGAACCCTCAAAGCTGTAACTCCTGAAGCCCTGAACGCTTAGGGTTTCAGGAGGGTGTGGAAAGTTCAGAGTCTAATTTTAGGGGTTGAGACCTCCAACTGTCCCCACTGACCTCCAACTCTCACCCAGTGAAAACGGCTGCACCCTCCTTCACAAGGCAGCTTCAGCGCTTCTCTTTTTTATTGCGAAAGCATCGCCTCAGCCGAAGCGAGTCATACAAGGGACAGAGTGAGCGACCAAGGCGCACGTCAGCCTCAAAGCGGCTTAACTTTGATCCGCGCATCCAGATGAACGAAGTTGCATTCATGCTCTGGCAGAATATTGACCATTACTAAAGGAGTGGCAGCTCGGATTGCCTGCTTGATGCGATCTAGCGACTGCGGATCTCCGTCGAAGTCCAAAAAAGCTGCGCTCGACTCACTCCGGACAAAAAACTGGGCCACCGTGGCACCTACCGAGGGCCACACCAAAGCAGGACGGTGCACGTGAAAGTTGTCGATGACCTTCAATACGGAAGGATGCCATACCATCACGAGGGCCTGACGTCCATGAAACCCACTGAGCAAGGCTCGCAGGCTCTCACCCAGAGAGTTTATCCCGAAAACGTCATTGATGAAGAGAACACACTTCTCTTCGGGCTGCTGAAAACCCATCATCTGTGCAGCCTGAATATCGGTGCGGCCACAGACGTATTGATACTTCCTCCCCTCATTCGTCTGCAGGAAAGCATGCAGGTACGGAATGTACTCGAAAGCAGAGCAGCCATAAAGGGGAACCCTGAACTCACAGCCCTGAGCAAAGAGGCTTAGAACCTCTCGCATGAGAGTCATCTCCTTTGACCTTTCGATGAGAGCATTGTTTCCAATGATGGGCGGCACGTTCAGCTCCAGTCCGCGCACCACTACCAGTCGAAGCTCTCCTTTGCCAACTCCGTTGGCAAACTTGATGGCTCGGTGACTCAAATCGGCCATGAACTTGCATATCTCTTCTTCCGTCTCGCACATGTGCACCAGATCGTGCTTCGCAACAGCATCATAGAATTGGGTGTTGTGCAGGACATGCTCAGCCTCAGTTGCTGCAATCAAGTTGTCTTCAACAGCCCAGGCTTTGTTGTTGAAGACGAAGACGGTGATTAAGGAACTTACGTCAGCTTCCATCAAGTGCATCACAAGCTCAGTGCCACCATTCAGTCGACTCGCACCATCTCCGACAAAGAAGTTGTACACGCCTCTCTTCTTCGAAATCTGCTCCACAGCGACGACCTGATTGAGCTTTGAGAGAACATGCCCAATACTCGAGTCCCTGAGCATGGCAATGCCATCCCCGTCTGTTAGAAGCGAGATTCCCTCCTTGACGATGGTGGCCATGAGGACTGCTGTGGTCAACCCCGTGTCGTAGTAGTTTCTCACCGTCATGTCCGGATTCGCCAGCTTTAACTGATTGCTAAACCTCACGTAATCTACCAAGCACTTCAGCCGATCTGTACTGGTCGATTCCATGGCCGAAGGCATGGGCATTGGTGTGGGATAGCCAAAAGCCTTTTGCATGAAGAAGTGCTTGGTGGCAGCTCCCAAGCCCCATGCTACTTCTCCTTTTGCCTTGATGTCACCGCAGATGCTCCTCAAGACCTCCGCCTCATCGACCCCATAGATGTTGTGCTCTTGGCTGCCGATTGGAAGCATGCACGCCCCCTTGCACAGAACCACCAAGCGACTTTCTTTGTAAGCCGCATCAAACTGGCCGTGATCAGACCGAATACACATCGTCACAAACTTTCCTGGTGTCCCTATATAAATCAAGAGCCGGTGCCCATGAGTTGCCATGGGAATCGCTTGAAACTTAGCTTCGAGCGGGAGCGTATGCTGCCAATCACTTGCAACAGCCACATGAATCGGCGCAATATCAACCACATCTTGCGAGTCCGAAGCATAATCCAGCAGCTTTTTGCAGCAACTGCTGGTAGATGCATCCTGTCCGAAACATATCAGAATGCCCTTGGCTTTTGCGATGGCCTTCGAAATTGATTGGCATGCGACGCGAGTGGCTCGGTACGTCTCACTCTTCGTCGCAATCTCGGGCTTCTGGAGCAGAATGGGCTGGGCACCCAAGAACGGCCTGTCAGTGTCAGTAACATGGTGAAGGTTCTCTTCGACGATGGCCCTTGCCAAGTCTTCGGTTTGCTTCCTTGCCAATCTTGGCCGTTTCGACGCTCCAGGAAGGCCGTCCATCACCATCGGAAAGGATCATACGACACGGGCGTCAGATGGCATACTTAAGGTTCCAATACATTGAAACGAGGTGAACATTCAGCGACTACACTGCACCGGCAGCAATGTTTCGGAGGAAAGCATGACTCCCTGAGATGGTAAGAACGAGAACTGTTGTGAAGCTGTAACGATTATCTGTGCGACCTCGAACCTTCAAAACAACAACGGGACAAATGTCAGAGTGTTGCTTGTAGGTTTGGCTCTGTTACCAGCCGATCGCGATCAGTGGGCCGGGCGGCTACACGAACACTCGCGCCACGACGAAATAGTTCCCCTTGCTGATTCATCCGTGGCGGCCGCTCTCACCCCGGGCTGGAAATTAAGTCATCTTCAGCTTTGTACATATCCCAAACACTGCGCCTGTCTCGAGTACACACGCAACAGTTTCGCAACATCTCATGCCCCCGCGCGGCGGTGGTCTGCACCCCCCCTAAACATGGCCCAGTCAGCTACGTGCAACTTTCCATCACTCGTGTTTTTTCACAGACGAAAGGCCAACGCTCGAGATGGAGGTTACAATGCCCGTGCCCGTGAGCCCCATTCAGCGGCTGGAGGCCTGCGAGAGGGCTTCCTTATCGGGCAAAACTGCCTCTCGCCGCAGCTTGCAGGGCCCATCGCCGTCGCCACAACCGTCGCCACAACCGTCGCCACTATTTTCATGTGTTCTTTATTCATCAAATGAATGGAATGACTGCGTGTAGCGAACAAGTGAACGAAGAGAGCGCCCGTTGTTAAGGCATGAATAACCAGAGAGTAGATCACCCACTTGATGCACTACCAAGAAGTGAAGAGAATACCATTATAAGTGCACGAATGTAGTGAGTACACGCATGAATAGTATGAACGAACGGGGGTTTTGGGTGTCGCTTGTTTCGCTCGCTCGCTCACTTACTTCGCTTGTAAACGTAATATTAATAAAGGCGCGAGAATGAGAGAGCGCGTGAATGAATTTAATAATAGAATTGTAAGTTAACCGCACGAATTCGATTAGAAAATTCACGAACGCACGAAAGAAAAGAATTATAAGTGCGCATATTAAATTCTCTCATTGGCGCACCAGTAATACTAAGAATAAAGGTGTAGAGAGTGAAATGAACACGGATACAAATGAAGTGCGTGAGCCGTGTGAATAAGCGAACGAAACAACGAAACACGAAGAGAAAACATGAATTAGTTTATAAACGCGCGAAGTAAGTACAATAAGCGTAATGAATGTATGAACGCAGTACAGGATTTAACAAATAACCGTCTATAACCAAGAATTATTGACCATTGACTGCCAAGGAACAAATCATCCAAGAAGCATTCCATCTTTCTTGGGGGTTTCTTGTGCTCTCTTCGTTCACACGGTTTTAATATAACTGGTTACGAAGAGAACTCAATATTGTATTTATAAGTGAACATGCGAACGCATTAATTATAATATTGGGGGAACGAAGTGCACGCACTCATTACATTCGTGCTTTTATGAATACACTTATCTCTTCATCTTATTAGCATTTGGATGTAGAATGAAATATTATAACGGTGAAGAGAATAATATTATTACGAAGGCAGTAAGTTAACGCACGGGCCGCAGTAATAATGCTATGAACGAAACACACACTAATAATACTACGTAGCGAATTACATGAACGCACTAATGAACGAAAGGCTGCAGGTGTTTACCTACTGTGTTGCCTTACATGATACAACATGCAACATTGTTCGATGTCGGACATTGTTTTGCAAATCGCGAAAGCTGAAGACAAAGTGGTGTTCTTGCATCACAGATCCAGTGATCAAAAAGCTTCAACATTTGTTGGGAAACTATTAAAGCTGGCGTCGTGAGACTTGGATCAAAAAGCTTCAACATTTGTTGGGAGAATATTAAACATGGCGTCGTGAGACTTGGATGCGCTGTTGGCGTCGGCCAAGACCTCTCAAATGCAAAATGTGTCGCTCTCGGCAGGGGCGTCGGCGTCTTGCTCTCCTTTGGTAGAGCAGACCTCGATCAACCACGATGGCGCGAGCATCTGGCGTGCCAGATCGGATGCCGTCTTCTTACGGTAATTTCTGATATCTACTCGGGCTCGGGCTGACAGCAGAGTGGACACGGAATCAAGAGAACCACTCAAAATGCTGAACATCAGCGGCGTAGCATCGTAATGATGATAAGCCAGCAGAGTCAGTCTGGAAGGGCTTACCCGATGCCTCACGCCCATGGCATTCATTAGAAGCCACCACCCCGGCTCCTGGATCTGTACCCGGAACTGTTCATTCACATTCGCCTGTGCAGCGAGCAAAACAGATACCAAGTCGGCAGAACCGCCTCCAGCGAACATGAGCGCGACGTGTAGGCAGTGTCGCAAACTCACATCTGGATTCAGACTGAGCATCTCCTTCATGGCACGCCGACTTCCGCATGCACACGAGATCATAAAAGGGCTCATTCCTGGCATGGCCTGCTGATTCAGGTTGGCACGGGCATGGCAGAGTAGACGTACTCCGTGTGGATTGTTCCCGGCACACGCGGTATGGAGAGCATTGCCACCAAAACCATCCTTGTAGTTTACGTCGGCTCTGGCGCACAGAAGCAGCTCGACAGCTTCATTGTTGCGAACTAAGACAGCTATAGCCAGAGCCGTCAGCTTGGCAGGAAGATTGACCTGTGCTTCGGGCTTGCTCGTAGCCTGATTGATATCAACCTTGCGGTCAAGAAGTGCTTGCAGCACCACGACGTCGTTGCTCATCGCTGCAAAGCAAATGGGCGGCCACCCTGCAGCGTCGCGCGCGAAGATGTTCCTGACGGCAGAAATCGAGGACAAGTATGAAGTCACGAAATTTCGCGCAAATTCAGGGCTGGGGATTTTGGGCTTCTACGCTCCTGAGGCCGTTCTGATGCAGGAAACGTTCCAGCATGAAGCCCTTGCAGTCAACACTCGGGTCGGTCTCAGTGTGGAAGCCCGGAACAAGGCCGTCAATGGGCTCCACGTCAAGAGCACGGAAATACTGCGCTGCCTGTAAATTCAGAAGGAATCGGTAGTTGTGAAACTGTTTATGCTCGAGGTAGTAGAACAGCTTGGACCAGACCATCTGAGTAACCATGCGACCGATCAACACTCTGTCACCATCAAGCGTAAACTCCCCTTCACCAGGTGCATCCCTCATGCTTAGTCCTGCCCACAGCAGCGTCTGGTGCGCGGCGCTCTCTACAATGATGATGTAGCCACCTCTGTGGGTGGAGAGTTCGCGTGCAGCTCTCTCTGTGCGACACCACCTGGACTGGGCCGCGGGACAAAGAACCGGCAAAACTTAGGCCTAGGCGCGAAGAAGTGTATCGTCAAAGGCAAAAAAAAATGCCAGTGCAACTCAGCTACCCCCTTTCGCCCCAAGTGGCATGGCTCAGAGTCCGCTTCTGATCTCTGTGCTTCAAAGCCGGGCATAGCACGACAAAGAACTCGCATCTTGCCACATACGTTGGGATGCTTTGAATGGCTGTCTGACGGCCATGAGATGCGCGGTGACCGCCGCTTTGTGGGATGCTAAAGTAGTCATACCAAATGTGGAGATGGCCGGGTGCGAAGTCAGCGGCTGTAAAACATCTTCTTCGACCATACACAACTTCTGAGAACAGAGCTTGAGAAATTGAGCTGGTTCCGGCAATGATATTCCTCAGTGCATCCTGCAGAACCTTCAGCTGCTGGAAGTCTGGATCAGGATGGGTGTCGCTCAGCCACTGGTGCGACACGAACATTGCCTTTCCCAGGCTCTCATCAAACTCCGAAAGCACACCGGCGTCTGCGAGCTCTTCGTGCATCTTGACTTCTGTCATCTGCAAGAAAGCATCGGCAAGTACCGTGTACATCACAAAGGTGTTGTTGCCTCAGCTTGAGACACGGCTCTTCCTTGTCGATTGAAGCGCTTCTATGCCCGATAGGCCTACTGGGCGCAGGTATTTCTAACACTGTCACTAGTCCATGAGCTCCTTTGCCGATAGAGCACCTTCTGTAAATCGACAACCCTGAACACTAAGTCTGACAAGTCGCCTGAAAGACCGTCTCGATGTTTGCCCAGCGCCGATGCAAACTGAACCAAAGACGCGCTCTCCATGGCAATCGGAAAAACACCCTAGTGGCTGCTCCGGAGAAACACTTGGCAGCGAGTCATAGATTAAAGTGGCTGAGCAATGTCACAACAAGGGAAGCGATGCCGAGGTGATGTGCAAACCCAAAGCCGAGAACCCTGCAAATCCAACCAACAAGCGGGCTCCCTTTTTCGTACCGTGGGGGTTTAGACTGTGAGGGATCGGGTGTTGGGGCCCATTACACAGTAGCCATAATAATACTATTAAGGAACCCCCCAACATGGTACAGGTAATTATTTAGGCCCTTATAGTAGGCCTACTTTGGGGCGTCGGAGCTTGGATCGAAGTTTAAATGCCAAATCAGAAAAACTGCACGAAGCACAAGCTTAGCAAAGCACAAACAACCTCCTTCGGTGTTCGAACTCCACTGACACAAGCTCCAAAGCCTAGCCTGGCTGGCAAGATTGGATCCGGAACAACCCTACAAATCCCTACATTAGGCCCTAAACCCTAACCCCAAATCGGCACATGAGCATTTTCTTCTGAGACACTTCAGCTTCGACCAAGTGTATGCAATCACCTGGACGGCTTAGGGTTTAGGATGCTCATGTGCCGATTTGGGGTTAGGGTTTACTTGAGTTTCACGCGAGCACATGCTTGCCTTTGCTTCGTGCTCCTGGGCTAAACTACTATGCAAGGTGCTCTTCTGACCGAAAACAACATCCTTGTGCAAAAACTTCGTGCTGTTTGTCTAGCTTGCTCTCCCTCTTTGTCTCTCTCCGTCGTTCGGTGCCCACCTGGTCCCAGCCATTGGTGAACATGAAACCACCGTTGTCGTGGTTTCCCAACACCCAAACCATTGCTTTCCTCAGCCACATGAGATTTGGGGCGACGAAAGGAA